ACTCCATATGTGGCCTCATTAGTGCTGAATAGAGGGGAAGAACCACTTCCCTCAATTTGCTGACAACATTCCTGCTAATGGAGCCCAGTAGGCTACTAGCCTTCTTGGCAACAGAAATACACTGTTTGCTCATATTCAGCTTATTGTCCACTGTAACCCCCAGGTGCTGTTTGCAGAGCTGCTGCTTAGCCAGTCCATCTCCAGCCTGTACTGGTGCATGGGATTGTACTGTCCTAAGTGGAGGACTTTGTACTTGTCTTTATTGCACCTCATGAGATTTCTTTTGGTCCAGTCCTCCAATTTGTCTGGGTCTTTCAGAATCCCAGCCCCACCTGCCAGTGTATCTACTATTCCCCACAGCTTGGTGTCATCTGCAGATTTGCTGAGGGTGCACTCTATGCCATCTTCCAGATCGCTGATGAAGATACACTGAACACAACTGTCCCCAGGACTGACCCCTGGGGCACTTCACTTTTCACTTGATATCGGCTGCCAAGCAGACATTGAGCCATTGATGCCTACCTTCTGAGACCAACAATCCAGTCAATTTTCTATCTATCTTAAAGTTCATTCATCCAACCCATATTTTCTTAGCTTGCTTGCAAGATTGTTGTGGGAGACCATATCAAAAGCTTTGATAAGGTCAAGGCATAGCAAGTCTACTGCTCTCCCTGTGGCTATAAAGCAGTGTAACTTAACTGACTTCCATCCAGCTCCTCCTGCTTTACGTTAGACCTGTACGAAGTGGGTAGTGTTTGCTTCGGATTCGGCTGGGTCGGGGGACAGTGATTTGATTTGGTGATTAAAATCACTGTCCTGAATTGATTAGGCCTAATCAGCCAGGCCCATCCCCCCCAAGCCCAGCAATGGCTTCCTCGCCCGCCCCAGCTCCTGCCACTTGTTTAAAAAAAAAGCCCTGAATCAGCAGGTGCTGCCGGGTGGGGGGTGATCTCCACTGTCCCCTGCTGCGTGGCGGGCTACTCCCCACGATGCCTCAGTCCCCACCCCCATGACTGCCCCACCCACTCCGACTCCGGCCCTTTAAGAACCCCCCTGAAACCCCCCCCGCAGACCAAACGTTCCTGCCAGTGGGGGGCGATCCCTGCTGCCCCACACCATGTGTGGGGCTCTGCAGGAGCCCCCCGAAGGCCTGAGGCTGCCGCAGGAGCAACGAATCCCAGGGCTTTTCTTGTTTTTTTTCTCTTAAAGGGCTGGAGTCGAATTGGGCAGGGCAGCCATAGTGGGGGGCTGGTGGAGGGGGTGGGGGGCTTCTGCAGAGCCCCCCATACAGCATAGGGCATTGGGGAGCAGCAGGAATTGTCCCCCCCGACACCCGGCAGCACCTGGTGAGCACCGGGGTTTTTCTTTGAAAGGCTGGGAGATGGGGGGGGCAGCACCCGTGGAGAGGCTGGGGGAGCGGCCAGGGGTCAGGGGGCTGGTGGCTGGCAGGGGTCCCCCCATGGTCTCTCCCTCCTCTCCCAGCCCCCCTCCCCTGCCCCTAGTACTTACCAGCTCCGAGCTGGCTGCAGCTCCCTGCTGCAGCCACCAGGGACTGCCCGAATCATCAAAGCTCTCCAAATCTTTTCCGAAGATTTGGAGAGATTTGAGTTGATTCGGACTTTTTAATTGGTCCCCTGATTCGATTTGGATTTGGAGATTCAGCCACCGAATCGGGCCGAATCTCCTCCGAATTGCATCACCACCCGAAGCTTCGCACAACCCTACTTTACACCCGTGTGAGTGAGAGAGAGACACAGCCCTGCTAATGTTTGCATTTTGTAGAAAGAATGCTTTGTGACAAGGCCTGCATGTGGACAACATAAAGAATCTGGCAGGACAGAACCCCTTAGTTTAGCAAAAGCATTCAGAGTAAAACATCCTCTGCTCTGGGAGATGAATTAAGGCAGAATTTCTTCTGATTTACAGTACTCTCCCTAAACCATTCCCCAGAGAGGAACCCTCAGCCCTTATAACCCCTAGTGCCCAGGTAGAGTTAGAAATGGCAAACAGCAAAAAGGGCTGAAAAGTCTTTGGTTGCAGTTCACGACAGATTATCGCCACATTTACTTGCAGGTTGTGGACTACTGACCTTTCAATTTCCTGCGGATTCTCATTGCCACCCAGAAGTGTCACTTGAAGTTTTATGGCACACATAGGAAGGTCCCAAGCCAGGGGCATTTGCAGCGTTCCATTTAGTGGTGTTTGAAATACATTTTTCCTTATTAGAGGAACTGCATCTTAAAAACACTAGAAGTTTCCCCTGGAGAGACATTTGGCTTCCTACTAAAGAAATATTTGCTGGTAATAATTATACATTAGCTTTAAGACAACCAGATTATTCTTTAAGTGACAGACCATTATAGACATGATCAGCATTATGTTAAGTTCTAATTCACAGCATTCGGGAATGGAGCAGATGAATGGGGAAATGACACTAATTATTTTCCTTATACAGAAAATGGCAGGTAATCACCTGAAAGGAGAAACAGTTTAATCTGAGAAGGTTTGATTTGTAGACCCAAAGCAAAGGGAGCCCAAGGATGGGGTGGGGGTTTGCTAGAAGATGGGAACCTTCTTCCAAGCTAATGATTTTTCTGAGCCCTTGCAGCCAAGTTCTCTTTCTCACCCTTGATGGCATTTTAATACACCTGGTTTTAGACCCAGATGAATTCTGGAATTCAGCAGTTCTTGCAACTTAAAAAAACCCAAACAAATTGAGAAAGGAAAGTTTGCCAACTCCATAGAAGCTGTGCACAAGCTCTAACCTCATGTGAGAATGGAAAGCACACGTTCTCACTGTCATTCCACTCTCATGTTCCCAGCAATTATTTGAATACAGAGATAATTCTCTTCCTTTCCCTTTAATAAAGGAGTCCTACATACCTGGGCTCTTGGCCTCAGAGTGGGGTCTGACTGGCAATAGAAACTTCTGAGTGCATCAGGAGGCCTGGTACACAAATCTCTGGGCTGGGAGGTGTCACATCCAAGCCCATGCACATTGCACTGCTATCAGTTAAGCAAGAGGAAGAAGAAAATTCAGTGTTGAAACTGCCCTCGCATACATAAACCTACTGCTGCCCAGGCTGCCTTATTTAAGTTCAGAAAGTTGGCATCATGCTCCTAACAAATAAGCCATCCTGCTTCCTGGGGAAGAGGCATGAAAGGACTGCAGAGATACCTGTGTCAGCACAAAAGAGTCTGAACCTCCCCAGCTCCTGTTTGTATACCATCTGTGTTCGAACTAGCTGGCCAAAGGGGGATAAAGATTCCTATTGATAAAGGGCGATTTGACCATCAGAGCACTGTCATGATAATTACTGCAGGAGGGACAGCAGCAAAACATATGCCGCATATTTGTAGTGCCCCTTTTGAAGGGGAAGGCTGCTGGAATCTATACAGTGAACCATGTGGGCAACCCAGATTTTCCACGGTTACAGTTTAGTTCATTTTTGGAGCTCCTGTTGGAAAAAGTTTTTCAGCACAGAGGCAATAAAGCTGGGTGTGCTTCTCTGGCTGAGGTCTCCACCAGCAAAATGCTCTTCCCTTTGTGCTCTGCTTACATGGGCAGATCTAGGATTTTGAAAAGAGGGGGCAGATGGCACAACACAATACAATTTTATTGGAATGTGCATGAATTTGCTATACCATTCATTGTGCATACAAATATACAAATAAGGTAAAATTATCAAAAGATAATGACTACAGGACTAATGAAACCATGTAAAAAAACCCTCTCTTTTTTAGATTCATAAAACAAAAAGCTAGCTTTCTTGAGCACCTTGGCAGTGCATCCAATGCTTCACTGAACATTACTTCCGCATCTAAGTTAATGATTTTAGCTAGAGTTAAAAACAGTTTGCAGAGCTGTGAACTGGGAACTAAGGCTGTTTGCAGACATTAAAAACAAAAAAGCACAAAAAATAACAAAAAAAAAGCCCACTTGAGAGCCCAGCACATGCTCAGAAGAGGCAATGCATTAGTTGGACCTGGCCTGCTCGATGTCTGTACAGATTGGGCACTTTAGTGGGGCTTTTATCTAATAGTTGTGTAACCCGGACGGTACTCCAAGATGTACCCCCTCTCCAATTGAAGAGATCAGGGCAAGTGCACAAGTACTGTGGGAGTTGTAGAGACCCTCCTCCTCCTATAGAGCAGAGCCAGATCCCCAATGGGGACTTAACCATAAACCTTTTAATGAGAGAACAGTACTGGAAACATAACCAGTATAAACCAGGGGGTATAGGTGACCCTACAACGCCCTGAGGGGGCAGGATTCAATAAAGGTTAGACACTTACAGTCATAGACATGTTCATCCAGTTGACAAAAGACTGTTAACAAAATATAAAACACAAACAGCAGAACGAACAATACTGGTGAGCGAAATATAAAAGGCACAAAATACAAAATGTCAAATAACGAGAAATATAGGGCCTAGGTACCTGGAAGTGGGGGGTGGGAGAGGGAAAACACAATGACCACTTTCCACTGCAACAAGAGCTTCCCCCTGTCACTTCACTCACCCCAATTCAGCCCAGCTAGGACTTGAACTCAGATCTCCCTTCTGGGACGCAGAAATGCTACCACACAGCCACCAGTGCTGGCACTGCTCTAGCCTGCTAGGGGTCTTGACCTTCCCGGAGCCCCAGCCTCACCTGAGCTGCCTGGCCTCTGATTCGAGGAGCTGGAAGCAGAGCTGGGAACCTCTCAGGTCACTGCTCAGATCCTTGCTGGAGCAGAGGAGCCTCTCCTGCTGGCCGCAGCCTCTCATAGGGGATCCTGGAGCCCAGCAAGGAGCCTCTCTTGCCGGCCACACGCCGCGCTGCTGAGGGTCCCACTGCTGCCTGCAGGTCCTGCTCTTTCAGGTGCTTCTGGGGCAACTGCTCCTGCCCTGCTGACCCAGCTCTTTGAAACTCCTTCCTTGTGGTCCCTCGCTGGTCTCTCTTGAGTCAGCTGCGCTGCCCCTTTTATCCACCTCCAGGTGACCCAAGGGGACCCAGGTTACCAATCAGGGGACACGGAGGGTGAGTCTCTGGGGCCTGATTGGTGCGGAAAGGGAATTCCAGGCCCTCCAGTCATCTTTTATCCTTTCAAAACCCCCGGGCTAAATCATTACCAGCTAGCCCATCACAGTTGATTGAATCAGCTTTAACTAAAACTGCCAAAAAAGCCCTGCTGAAGCACATGATCTATACAGATGCTACAGAGTTGGGTCAAAGTAAGGAGCTACTTCTTCCAGCAAAGCACAGTTTTTTTTAAACAACTGCAAGCAGCCTAAATTACCAAGAGCAGCTAACAGACAGCAGAATTGCATAAGAAAGGATAGCTTGATTAGTGGAACATCAAAACCATTAAAAAGGACAAAGGGTCATTAACTTCTGTGGAATTAAGAGTTTAGAAGAAATAAGACGGATTACAATGACCCATGAAGTCATTTGACTCTCCCACTGCTTCCTGAATAGAAATGCTGATGCCATTGCCAGGCAGTTGGTTTTAAACTTTAGGTGGATCAGGAATCAAAGGAGGGTGTAACTGCATCACTTCCCTTTCCCCCCCTCCTGCCAGATCCACCCCTGCCTGCTTATTTATATTGTAAAGGCTTTACATCACACATGGCCTGGTCTGGAACAGTGGATTATCAGTTGCAGTGGGATCCATGATGCATTACTGTAATAATAATAATATTGATGATGATGAGTTTGAGGAAGAAGCTGCTTTGACTTTCCATTTTGCTTCTAACTATTTTTAGGAACTTTCACTGATTGTGAGGTTTTTACATAATAACTAAAAATAAGAGTTTAGCAGAATAAGCAGCAGCAGCAAAGAGAGGCACCTTGGGCTGGAGCAAAAGGGCTTTAGAGATGAAGACTAAACCCTGCAGAGGGGCACATCAGAATTATGGGATCTCCATGACCTATATTGCTGAAAAGCAGCCTGATGTGTTGACCCAGATGTACTTTTTTTTTCTTTTAAAGATTCATGGATTTTTTTTATGCAGGGGGAGAAAAACAAACAGCTCCCTCACCCCCCCAAAAGAGGCAGTTTGTTTCTTAGAGTTGTGACTGCTTTGGTATTCAGACTTTGCAAGGAGTTTATGATACCTCAAGCAGGTTCACTGTAGAGGTGCCATGTGGCATCTGAGTCATTATGCTGCCCTTCTTTCTCCTCATTATGCCATAGGCATGGCAGTGTGCCACTTATACAATCTCTGTGAACCAGATATAGCCAGGCCTCTTCTCGCCTTTTAGATTTCTGCACTGGAACTGGCTGATGACTCTGGATGCCAGCTTCTGCAGCTTCATCAGCCTGCTCTGGCTGGAAGGTAAATATGTCCATTTTCCTAACAAGACCACCAATATGGGAAATAATGTAAAGCCAACCCTTCAACATTAACAGCACACAGGCTGAATGCAAGCATCAAAACTCCGCTTGCACTGGCAAGGCAGAGAAAGGCTGGCTTAGCAGACCAGGAGGAAAGTGCCTTGAGGAAAGCGAGAAGGAGAAATAATTGTATATGAGTAATAATAGGATTGTTCTCTCAGAGTCCTTGCTGAACACTTGGGGGATGTTCAGAAGTGTTACATTGGTACACACACCTGCACTAATCCTTGGGCATGATTTTTTTCATTAGGCTAGGATCAACTTCTATCCCATCAAGTGCAAATAGCCCTGCTTGAGGGCCCCAGTGCTTGTCAGAGGATGCTGGGACAACTCCTTTCAAAAATAAATTACACAGACCTATTAGATTGGAGGGGACATCATTTTAAAGAGAGCTCATCCATCACACTCTCCTATGAAGTTTATAAATACCGAATTATCTAGTTTGAAAGGCTTTCCACCTGAACTGATTCCATCCAGAGGTGAACCCAAGGGCCATGCATTACTAAACCAGCTGCTGTACAAGTTCATTTAAGTCTGAGGAAGGGGGCTGAAAGATCTATCTTCCTGATAGAACAAACTGAATGAACATATTGGGTCACTGCTGGAAATAGTTTCCATACACTGTCTTTTCTCTCTCTTTAGGAAAGTATAACCTATTGCTTCCTGGAGAATGTCCCTTTCTGGCTATTAACATTTACATAAAATACAGCAAAGTTCTTCCAAAGTTCTTCCAAATTTGGAAGTCTTTATTACTTCCAACTCTTCCTGCATATCATACTGAAAATGTGTGACTGACTTGATAAAAAGCTGTTTTAATGGGAACAATACCTGGAAATATAACTGCCCTAACTTAATGGATTCCTTGAAGATCAAGGCTGTCAAATATCAGATTCAAAAACCTTTATACAACATGAACAACTATATTAAGTGCACTCAATCAAAACCAGACTGAAGGTTCTATAAATGAAACAATGGCTGCTGGGAAATGCATTCTATTAGTTACCGAAAGGGAAAAAGAGAATTGGTACAAAGAATGATAAAGCCACAAAACCAGACATTGTGTTCCAATAAATCCAAGAGGGATGATGTACAAGAGTTATCTTTGAAACATGGCACCACTGTCTAATCAGAGCCTGCACACAAAAAGGTGATGGGTTCCAATAATTTATTCTACATTTCCTTTAAGATATAAAAAAATTGTAACCGGGGCCTCAGCACTGCTACTGCTGACAAGTGCTCAGAATTAGAGGGAGATAGAAAAATAATCCACGGCTGAACTATGGTAGACATGAACCCCATTATGCAAGATTTATGTGGGGGTAGCTCAAAATTAGGTCAAACTAGAATGAAATCCTGTTGTTACCATTTGCTGCCAGTGGGCTTGGTTACTTCTTTTGCACTTCATGGGATGGAAAGCTGCCAGACCATCTTGGTCCCCCAGTTCAGTAATGAGACTTATAGGGTGGTCAAATGGGGCACAGTTAGCATAGGAAAATCTGAGTGATCAGCCCTTCAGGGCTGCATAATACTCCCCTCCTCCTGCAGCTGGACTTTAGGCCGTGGCAGGCACGGGGAGGCACAGTCCTGATGACCTGTTCCTGGACTCCCTTTGTACTACACCTGCCACGACTTGATGGTACTTCAGTATTCTAGTTTAGAGAGATAAGCAAGTACCACATTACTACTTTGTATATTTCTAGGGCTCAATCCCAACATACAGTCATAGTCTTTACATTGAAGATGGCCTTTCTTGAGACCCTCTGGGGTCTAGCTCCAGCACTACTGTGTTTAATTTCTGTAACAAAGGCCGCCGCCTTTTCTGCCTGTCTTAATCCTTTCCAGGGTGCCCAGTAATGCATTCAGCCGGACCGCTGAAATGCCAGGGACAGCATCCCTTTAACAGCTGCTCTCCCTGCTGCGTTCAGTGCCTCTCTGGAAGCGCAGCCTCCCTGCTGCTTGCAACCCTCTCACCAGCTTGCCGCTTCTAGGCTTGTCTTTCCTGCAGCTGTCTTGGCCGCTGACTATTCACAGCTCTCTTCCCTTGGGTGCTACTGTTGCCGTCGGGCTGCACTTGCCGCACCCTCCATGCTGTCTGGGCCTGGAGCACCCGGTGCCTCCCTCCACTGCGCAGCTTCCTGCCCCTTTCTCAGTGTCCGCAGCCTCCTCTATTCCCTAACCATTTGCATGCCAGGGGCAACTCCTTTCTCAATTAACACCTCCTCACTAAGTCAGACCCAGCGCTCTCTTAAAGAAGCAGCATCTCTGCTTCCCAGTTCTTATCTCATGTCTTTACTCTTATTTCTTATTATTTCCCTCCTCAGTCTGTCAGCCGGGTTAAGGCTGCTGTTGCAGGCTGGTTTAAGCAGAGCAGCCTCTTGCAGGTCTTACCCTCTGCCTGGTGGTAGTTGCTGGAGTCCCATGCAGCTCAACACGTGATAAGACAGTGCTTCCCAAACTTTTCCTCAGCATGACCCCCTTTTATGGCCCCATTTCCTCAGCATGGCCCCTCACTTGCAACCACAGCTGCCCCCATCCCCCAACCCCATCCGCTGATATTGTGACCCCATTTGGGGTTGCGACTCACAGTTTGGGAGCTGCTGTGATAAGACATCCCTGAGCTGAACTTGCAGCATTTAGGGTTTGTTCAGGACCCAAGTGTCTCCTTCAGAACCATAACTGAGGTAACAGCCATGTGCCTGCCTGCATGTATGAAACTGGGGATATCCTATGTGGGGTGAGCTACTTAGCAAGAAGTGTTAGTGGAGGTTTTAAGTACCTGCCTCCTTTGGGATGGAGTGCTTTGGAGATGGTAAAAGGCAAAATGCCTATGGGCCCTTGGGCCAGCAGATGCTGGGTATGATGTACTATATTTTGAAAGGGTTAACCCCGGCCCTGTTTCATTTATAGTTGGTGATTTAGGTTCATACTCTCCGTTTTGCCCCTTAACTCTTTCTGGCTGATTACTGTTTATATCCTGATCTAACACATAGCTGAACTAATCCACCCCTTCCCTGCCTGTGACAGAATCCCACAGAAGATTGCAGCGGCAATATTATAAATATGATATGTGCAATTAATCTGTCATTCCAGTTCAGTGCTCTGGAAAGGATTTTGCCTGTGATAGGAGGTGGTTTCTTTGCTTATGAAAACATACCCCAGTGACTACTGTTATACACTAACCTGTTGCAAGATAATACACAAAACAGCTCTGTTTTACAGCTTTGGTTTTTTTGTACTTTTGTATCTGCCTTCGTGCTGGTCACAGCTCTGGGTTTGCAAATCTGCATTCAAAGCCCTGCTCCCCATCCCCTCTCACTGCTCCAAAAACCTCACCTGGAGGGGCTTTGTCTGTCGGTTAAGCAGGAGCTTATTTTCCATTGGCTCATTGCCCCGGGCTCAGTTAGCCAACAGTAGGGCCCATGAGTGCCAGCTCTTCTTCTCATGTGACCAACTCCCTACAGCATCTACCATGATGGGGCATAGACCATTAAATAAGAAAAACATGACCCAGGCCACAACACAGCCTCCGGGGGGTGGGGGAGACCTCTTTTCAGTTTCTTCTTATTTAAGCCAGACTGAATCCGTATTTTCCATCACTGGCCTTTGGAGCCATCCTTTAGGACTGTACCAATGTTATTTGTTGATGTTGAAGCAATTGTACAGCTACCACCATATTCTCCTAAATATCTGGAAATTCTCACCCAGATGGTTTGTCCTCAGCATACGTATGAGCAATAATTGCTCATTTCCTCTGCATTTTTTTCTTCTTTTTGTCTATGTTGTGAATTCTTATTTAATGAGAAACTGAAGAGCTATTTTTAGCACAGAAATAGATCAAGAGACCATAAATATATGTCAAAATGTGCCATGACAAATCTAGGTTATTTCCCTGAAAAGAGATTCTCTTGTCCTGGATTTAAACTCAAAAAGAGCTTCAAAGTAGAAAATGTTCAAAGCATTTTCGTGGCCTTTGATAGGACTTTATGCAACCATCAGATTAAAGGAACGTGGCCTTTGTCACACAAAAAAGGGTTTGCATGAAAATAGTGTCCAGCATACCACAGCTTTTCCACACTTTTTGTGCTGGCTTTGCACAAAAATGGCATTTTAAAATCACACCTCTGAACCCCAGGACCTATGCAGCACACTTCAAAAGGCTTCCAGTTTGCCTTTGTTTTCAGCACTGGAGAGCTGGCTGGTGGACCACCCTTTCCCTCCTCTCCCCTCGGAGCAGTGGAAGTTGGAGAAAACTTCCATTCCACTTCCCCTCATACATTCCCTTGGAGACACTTACAGCATGGGGCAGGGGGAGGAGAAAGACTCTCCAGCCTACTAGTAATCTAGCTCATTTCCCACAAAGGTGTTCCTTTTTCTGCCTTCACCAGGAGTGATGGGTGTTTTCTAGGCCTGTGCTAAGCGGCTAGTATTTGCTTCGGATTCAGATTCGGCTGATTTGAGAGACAGTGATTTGAATCAGTGATTTGAATCACTGTCCTGAATCTATTCGGCTGAATCTGATTTGGAGATTCGGCTGCAGTTGAATTGGCCAAATCTCTGAATCGGCCCCATCCCCTGCCCGCTCTCAATGGCTGCCCTGTCCACTCTCCCAGCTCCCGCCTCTTTAAAAAAAAGCCCCACACTCACCAGCTGCTGTTAAGTGGGGGGGGGGTGTGATCCCTGTTGCCCCCTGCTTCTCCAAGCCATGTGGGGGGCTTTGCCATGAGCCCCTTGACTGCTCTCCCAGCTGCCCCCCATTCCTGCGCCACCCATCCCAGCTCCCGGCCCTTTAAAAAAAAAAAAAAAAAAAAGCCCACACACACTGGCTACTGTCAGGTTGTGGGGGTGATCCCTGCTATCCCCCACTGCCCTGCCCTGCATGGAGGGCTCTGTCACGAGCCTCCAGAAGCCTCAAGGCCACTGCAGCAGTCAGTGAGTTGGGGCTTTTATTTTTTTAAAGGGCCAGGACCTGGGGTGGGCAGGGCAGCTATGGGGGTGGGGCTGGGAGAGTGGGCGGAGGTTGGGAGGCTCATGGCAGAGCCCCACCATATGGCATTGGGGCAGTGGGGGGCAGCAGGGATTGCCCCCAGCTGGCATCAGCCGGTGAGTCGGGCTTTCTTTTAAAGAGCCAGGAGCTGGGGCTAGGCAGGGCAGTCATGGG